GAGATTCAGTATAAGGCAGGGATGAATCAAACACCGTCTAAACGGATTGTGGTCATTGGAGCGGGTTCAGCGGGTCTTGTTACGCTCAAAATACTAAGAGAAACGGACCAATTCAAGCAGGGTGGTTGGGAGATACTGGCATTCGAGCAAAGAGAGAGCTTGGGTGGAATATGGTAAGCAATCGCGTCATTATCGCTCAAACTGGCGGCCTGGAACTATTGCACGATAACTACATGAGAATGCATTGTATATTTTCAATGTCAGAACATGTTCTAGTGCTCCATTTCATCGATATAGTTATTAACTCTTCTACTACACAGGCTACCAGATCCGAAGCCGGAGCTCCCTAATATTCCACAGACCCCACTGTACAATTCTCTTACTACCAATCTTCCGCATCCTATAATGGCGTTTCGAGATTTCCCGTTCCCAGTATCCACTTTCCTGTACCCAAAGGCGGAGGTGGTACTTCAATACTTGGAGGAATATGCAAAGGTCTTTGACCTGCTTCCTCACATCCAGTTCTCCACTCGAGTTGTGCGAGTGGAGCGATCGACCACTGAAGGGAGGGCGACCTGGGTGGTGACCACCGAGAAATCTGACACGAGTAGTGCCTCTGGGGTGAAGAGGGAGACACTTTCAAATGTCCATGCAATATTTTCGGCAAATGGAAGACATGGTCGACCAGTTTTCCCTTCTTCGATTCCAGGTTTGGACTCCTGGGTATCCAAAGGGAAGGCCTCCCATTCCATGTTTTATCGCGAGCCACATAGCTATCGGAACAAAACCATAGTAGTTGTAGGAAACGGCCCTTCTGCACTGGACCTTGCACCAGAGATAGCAGACGTAGCGAAAATGGTGTATCGATCCGTCCGGAACAAGGCCTCTGGTTCGATCGATGCTCGTGATCGACCTGCTAACGAAAGTTCGGTTACAGCAGTGACGGAGAAGCTAAAAATATGCACAGCAATTCGATCACTCGATGACCCGGAGGCGGGCATCATCTCCCTAGTGGATGGAACAAAGTTGTCCGGAGTCGATCACGTGCTCTTCGCAACAGGATACGAATTCTGGAGCCCCTTCTTTGCAGAAGATGTGCTACGAGAGAGTCGAAATGAAAAGATAGAGCCCAAAGAGGGGCTGTTTAATACAGGGCAGAGTGTAATCCCAACCTCAAAACACCTAATACCCCTATCGCCTTCCATTCCTATCGGCAGTTGGTTCATACTGGGACTCCCTCGTCCTGTCGTCCCGTTTCCTTTGGTCGAAGCACAGTGTCTACTTGCATCCGCTATTCTGACAGGCAAGGTACATTTGGATTTCGACACGGAGATGGAAGAATTCGAGGAATTATGGGAGAAATTAAAGGAGAAATTTGACGGCGACCCGAGTATGATGTCGAGCGAATGGCACAAACTGCCCGAAGAAAAGCAGTTTGACTACCGTTGCGACCTCGTAAACATTTCTGGAGGCGACGTCGACGCGATGGTCCCTCGCTGGCAAAGGTCCATATATGCCGCTAAGCGAGAGTTGAAGGCGGCTTGGAACGCCATTGACAAGCAAGGGAAGGCAGAGGAGAAGGTGTCGGGGGTTGGCGAAGGAGGTGAGCAAGAATGGGTGGGGTTAATGTTTGATATTTTGCGGGAGTATGGCAAGAGTAGTAACATAGACGCGAATAAGAATAGACTATAGTATCAGGAAATTTGTCTTCATTAATTGGGCATTGAGGTAGCAGGGGACAAGCAGACTTACGATTCTTTCGCGCACCAGGAATAAACACTGCAGCACTGGAAAGGGGATGCTTTATCCTTGGTGCCATGTCTTGGAGTAGATCTTGAACCAGCTTTAAGAGACGTGGTTCCTGGCTCGTGAATTGTGAATTGTGCAGGGGCGATAAGCACATGGTTCCATTGGCACGGGAGATAGGTGAACAGAGACCAACTCAAGGCTCCCTGAGAGAAACTTGGAAAAAATGATAAGAGGACAAGGTGATAAAGAGGTGGGATACAAGAGACAAGCACGATTGGGTAAAGCTAATGGCGAGACTTTTAGACTCTAGCATCGAAAGCGTCCAAAGATGAAATAGATACAACAATCATTTTCCAATAGATAGAGTTGAAAGATGAGATGTGGTCCTTATTAAACTTGAACACGGGGTGATGGTTCCCATTCTACATATGGGGGAGGGGCATCGTCGCTAACTCGATGAGGTAGCGGGGGTGGAGGGGTGGGTCGATTCAGATAATCTGATCTAGATCTGCCATGGATTGACCCCAGATTTGGTGCACCAGGTCTTGGTGAGGTTGTTGCAGGTCTGGCGATGGCATCAATCGTGGCGTCATCTGCGTCGAGGAGAGACGGTTGTGGAGGTTGCGATTGGCTACGGTTGTGGTTAGGCGGTGGTCCCGCTGGTGCCGGATATAAGGTCGTCATGCCATTGCTCAATGTCGGAGCCGTGTTGGAACCTCCTTTGCTGGCCTCTGCTAGAAGCCAGGGAGGTACGAATGCTGGGAGTTGTTTGGGTTTCTTGTCCATGAGATACTTGATGAGATACATTGCGATGATGAATTCGGACAAGGTCAGGTTGCCACTTTTATCGCCATCGGCCAAGGCCCATACGTGGGCTAACATTTCTACTGGGAGGCGTGATCTGTTGAATATTTCCTTTCCTTGAGCACCTACACGAATTAGTGAAATGACCGTAAGTATAACCGCTTGAAGGGAGTCTATGAAGAGAATGCAAACCTGTAATCACTCCTCCGATGGGATTGTGTCTGTTGAAGATACTGACGAATGCCTTGCGCTCATTATCT